CAAGTCTGGCTGGGCGCAATCAACACTAGCCCTGGCTTCGCCAGTGGCCACTACTACCTGGACGGGAAGTGGGAGTTCTTTACATAATAAATCCCTCCTTCTGGTGACTTCTGCCCTTTAACTTCCAACCTGGGATTTGGCCTGATGATTGTAGTGATCCGAGTAGAACCCACTACTTAGACCACTAAAGAGTAACCAAAACCATAAAACCTGAAGTTTCTGAGAGAGCTATACGCGATCATCAAAAGAGCCATATATGACTCGCGAGCCATAGGTTGCCGACCCCGGGTATAGGTTAACGACATTTACATTCATTTAGTAGGGTGGAAACAATGTTAAACCTACAGTTGTACTACCCTCATCTTGCAACATAGAACACCCTTAGTTAAACTGAAAGCTATAGGACTTTGCGTTCCTTCATAACATCATGCGTATATATTGGGAAACAAATACCTTAGTGGAGTCCACATTTTCAATTGTGGGATCCATTATAAGCGGTGTCTTTGTGTTTTCTTTATCTAAATTATACTTAATCCGCAGTCAGACACTCAATCTTTAATGTATGCTGTCGATCTCAAATACGTATATTCGTCTTCGAAGTGTACGATCCAACGCTGCTTGAAAAAAAAACGTTCTGATCTGCTTCCTCTTTCCGTATGGAGCTGAACACGGCTAATGGGATTCTCATCTTCTACGCTTCGTTAAATGGGTTTTAAGCCTGAAGGGCTACCACAATCAAGACACAAGCCACCTCTACGACTTGATGTTCCACCACAAAGGACCTAGGCTTAGGCTACACCAATTGATTAGGTCTACTGCTTCACGCAAATGAAATTACGGCCGCAGCTGGCCAGATTTGCGGCCTTAGTTCTCACAGTGTCTACCTTCCTGAAATTTAATGAAGACTTTATTGTATATCTGTCCTTCCCATCCTTGGATATTTCTGCCCCTTCTCTGGTTTAAAGGAATGAGTCTGGCCGTTCTAAAATGTAAATTTTCAAAGACGTTTTAGTAGAAAACTCTTATATCCACTACACCCAAATACTCGAATAAATACCAGCTAACGAACCTAAAATTTGAATTGGTTAAAGGGTTGGAGGTTGGATCCTGTCTACTTTTTCCGCCTTAATAACACCATAAATCGTCTCTAACTTTCAGCTCCTACCTCCTATTAGTCGTCCATACAACTTAGCAATCCTTCCCTGCTTATACCTCCTCCCGCATCCTAGGACTCTAAACGCTCTATCTATCTATTTATCTTTCTCTCTTTCTTCTTTGCTTCTGGGTTTACCTTTCTTTGGAATAATCTACCAGTGGATATTAAGTTATTAAATAGCCTATTGGTTTTTAGGCAAAGACTGCGTTCTTCTTAATCTTCCTCGAGCAGCTTTCTTCATGACTCAGAGGAAAGACCATCGGAAATTTAAGAGGCCTTCTCCAAATTACCTTTCCGCCCGTGGTTTCGCCTGTCTCAAGCTCTCATCCAGAAATTTTCATATTTTATTTCACGCATTGTGCTCTTCACGAAACCCGATGTCTCCCCTAACTCACCTCCCAGACGAAACATATAGATCATATTGACGCGTACGCTATGAATCACTCCCGTTTCGCTCGCCGCGAATTCTTATTAGGATTCCGTTTCGGAAACTAAGATGCCAAGGTTTCTACCCCATTGTCGGTCTCGCTCTAGTTCGGCCGCAAATTAGCACCCCGGGCTCAATTCTTGCTCCCATGCTGGTCTTCCAGTACACTTTCAATCTTTCGTCAGGATTAACCTAATCTGTTATTCTATATTCCTTTTTAAAGTGCCCTTTCCTGAAGTTTTTTTCTGAAAGTGATGGTTCCCTGAACTTCAAATTGGGGTGTTTACTTATATTACTTCTTTCTGAGCTCGCCATTTTTTTCTAAAAACTTCCACTGTGGAATTTTTAAACATTATTATCAAAAGTATCGTACGCAAAAAGGCAAGTAGCCAGTAGGCGTGAAAAACAACCTCTATATTGTACTCTTCAGTGGGCCGCTCGTACAGAGCGTTACTGTCTACAGTGTCTCGCTTTTTCACCATTTAACTCAATGTTAACTTTGTTTGGACGAGGCACATAGGGCAATTAAAAATACAACTTTATATATTGTTTGTTTTCGGGGGGTTGGTATACCGAGTAGTTGAGGTACTTATGACGAAGCTTAGATGGCTTGATAAACTATGAGCAAACCTCTGACTAAATCCGTCCAGGTTTTACTGATAGTTTTTAAATTCTCAACGCGAGTTTTCTCTGTGGAACTGTGGTAATGCTGCATAATGCTGCATAATCCGCAAAATGCGTATGGATGATTGAAAAGGGCTTGTAGGCGAAAGCCAAAATGTGTTTCGCGTTAGTCTGCGGGAGCGTTTTCGAGTTCTGTCGGTAACATGCACCCTCCCTCCGTAGTCTTGCACTGCTCGCACTATGTCTCTCCTCGCGGAGCCGGGTCGACCGGCAGATGGCAGTTGTTGATCGTGCGACAGCTGGCTGTAACCTTGACGATGACCTTAGAAGTGTGTGGCCGTCAAATTACGCCAAAAAATGTTTGAACACACGTGGCAGGAAATTAAAAGACTCTTGGATATAAAACTAACGGATACTCTTCCCCGTCGTTAGGAGCTTGATTTTGTTAGCCATTGCTTTCATTCTCTCATTCATATTTCCACACGACACATACTGTTATATTGCTTTCATCATCCCCGGAAGAGGAAGAAGGGGCAATTTCTGAGCCCAAGTTGTATTTGAGCTGAAGTTTCAAAAACATTCTCGCTTTCATCATCAGAGCGTAGTGTCTGTTTTCTTGTTGGCCTCAAGTATTGTGTCTGACCGCTAGACGCGTGTTATAACTGTGCCTGATGCTCGCACGTCGACTGATTGCTGTTGGCTGTTTGAATTGTTCTCGCCCTCGAGGGCGCTTCCATGCGATGTGTCACGTCGTTCATGTGTCTGCTGAGCGTTTCCAATTTCTTCTTCGCTCGCGGCTGCCGGCTGTTGGTCCTGCGTATCTTCTTTTGCCCGACTTATTGCTCCATTCTGAGCAGGGGTTAGCGCTTGGTAGGCGGGATGAAGGTCTATTGCTCTGTTTAGTGTGTCAATCGAGGACCAACTTTTTAGCAGCAATCTGGCCATCTTGTCATTGGTTCGGCCTACTACCCCTGCTTTCTCAAAGGCGAACCTGTGATTCTGCTGCTGTACGTGGTTATAGACCATAGACAGCTTATCCTTGCGGTTGATTGCCTGTTGCTGTTCATGCAATCTTGTGCCAAGGTGTCTGCACGCTTAACCAACATACCTTGCATTGCAGTCTTGACATGGTATGCTGTAGACCACAGCTAATTTTTCTGTCAACGGTAGCGGGTCCTAGGGCCTCATGATTTACTGTCTGATGGTTGACTCCGGCT